TTGCTTTCTCTTTTCTCTATATATATTTGTTTTCTCCTCTCTCAATATATATTCACTTGTTTCTGTGTAAACTTGAATTCTCTATCTTTAAGGTAAGAAAAATAAGTTTTTGGTAAAGTGGACTATCAAAGTTCAAGTATTTATTTTCTCTTTACGTTAGTTTTAATTTTATTATTTATTATTTATTTGTAAATGATAACTTTCTCACAGGAAAAATAAAGTCATAGACCAATTATGTAAACTATTTACGAATCATCAATTATTTATTTTAATGTTTGATATTAGATATGAAACAAATTGTGTTAAGATAATGTAGACTAGTTTTCACCTAATACTCTTATTATCAACAAATAGTTATGTATATATATAATAACTCTTAATCATTATCAATTATAGAAAAAAATATTTACTTATTTAAGACATTTCAAAAAAAAAGAAAAAGAAAAAAAATAATTCAGTAATAAAAGGAAAAAATTAATTAATTTTGGATGCACATATAAAAAAAATACAAACAATTTAATTAGTAATACATGATTTTATAAAATAAAAAAAAGCAATTTACAGAAGAACTATACTCTCCTTTTCAAAGAAATCTATATAATTAAGTAAGGAAAAAGAGAGACAACTAACATAGGTATAATAGGAAAGTAATATATAAAGTGCACAACTTTTGCGAGAGAGTGAATTTTCTTTTCTGAACGAAAAATTTGCAGATACGGGAGTCCTACCTTCCCCAGAACTTTCACTTTCTTTCTAACCAAACTTTCAAAAAACTTAAATATTTTCCTTTTCTTTTCTTTTCTAGTTACTTGACGCTAACCAAATGGACCCTAAAAATGTAATTCGCACCTATTTAAAATTATAGGGGTATTTTTCAGACATTTCCCTTTATATAATTATATATATTAGTAATAAATACAAAGCTCAAAATGCCGGAATCATAGCCAATTGGAGGAGTATTTTAGTCAAATAAGAAGCTCAATTCAAGCTCCACTCTATTAGACCCAATATCAACCCAATTGTTGAAGTATATTAGAAGTACTAGTCTAATTAGGGGTACAATTCAAGCTCAACTCAATTAGACCCGATATCAACCGAATTAAAATACAAAAATATTATTATAGCTTCATTTTAGACCCGAATAAAAGCCCAAAGTTAGCTCTGTTAGGCCCAAAAACCGACTCAATGTTGGTCAAGTTTGCGGTTTATAAGCAACATAATATATCGGGCATGCCGACCACGTTGGAGTCCAGTCTTTAATTCTAGATTTGTGTAAAAGCTACTTATTTGATTAGTATATAAATTTTCGTAAAAAAAAAAGTACATAACTTTTCTTTATTATGTTTTAGATGCTAGTACAAAACTATTTTTAATGTGAGCCATTTATGTGTAACGATGTCCATCCCCCATTAGGTTATAAATAAACTTGATAAATAGTGATGTATACCAAGTGAGTTGGAAAAGGAAAACAGAATATACAGGGATATCATTGTGTTTTTTCTATCAAGTCTATCCAATGTATTTAATTATGGCAAACTTATATTTGCTAATTAAAGTCAAGTGACACAATTTTGGGAAAACTTATGTTTGCGAAGGTTACTTCAAGTTGCCCAATATTTAAACTAATTAAAGTCAAGTGACACAGTTTGGGGAACAAATTAGATTGTGTGTATATATATATATATATGAATTGAATATGAATCTTATAGTGATACAAGTAGAATTTTCTTTAATTAACAAAATTTGTAATGGTTGCAATTTAGACTTCATTTTTAATTAAGAGTGAGTTGAAAATAAGCACAAATTCTAATTAAGTAAATAAATTAAATATTACAGTAACTTTTCTTTTTTCTTTTGCATGAGAGTTATGAAAAAGGTTTAATTTCACTCATAAGCGTGCTTTATCATGGTGACATAAATGCTCCACAAGTGAGTAGTCTTTAATTTAATTTTGATGCTGCTATGGATGTGCAAAATGGGTTTGCTGGTGGTGGTTTTGTTCTTCGTGATCATGCTGGATTTCCTATAAGAATTGCACTGTTTTCCGGGCATCATCCTCTTTCAGCTACAGTGGCAGAAGCTATTATGTTTAGTTTAGAGAAGTTTTAAAATTTATTCTGATATGGTGTTTCGCAGAGATGCCTGTGGAAGGTGACGCCAGTGTGTGATGAGATTACAGAGGAAGCTCTGGTCCTATTATTATTATTATTATTTTACTTATTTATTTATTTGAAGAAATTAGATCACTTCTCAAGCTGCTGAAGTTTCTATTTGGCAATTGGCACTAGGTGACTCGTTCTTGCAAACAGAGCCTCTCATGCTGTGTGAATAGAAGTACTGTCCTCTCAAAGATAAGTGATTCTGCAAGGAGTATTCTCCATCCTATTATATTTGATATTTTGACTTTAGATAGGTTTCGCCCATTTTAGAATGTGTTATGAAATTTTTATTTATTTTTATTAATATTGGCTTTAAATTTGAGCCCATGTCATGTTTGAGATAATTAATATTGATTTAGAATAGTTTATAACATATAAATATATAGGATTTTTTAGCCCAAACCCATATCAGGGTATTATGTGTTTCGATATTGTAGCGGAAAAACTAAAACAAATTTATGAATTTCTCAAAACAAATTTTCATTACCAAATATGATTCCAATTTTTATTCAAAAGACTCCTATAACAAAATGGTTATTTTGACATTGACAAAAAAATATAATACCTAAAACATATCGCATGCCAAACGACCTTTAAAATTCTTTAAATTCCTTCCATTAAAATGCATCCACCAACCTTTAAATTTCTTCCTTTAAGATGCATTTTGCAAAGCCCGTTACTTAGAAGGTATTTGAAGACCAAAAAGCTCCCCAAACAGAGCCTGAAATTCAAATTTCAATGGTTCAATTCATGAATGTGGGTACAACAGTGATTCTTCCTGTGGACATGTAACTCTTTGGCGCAGTCTACAACTACTTCTCTCCTATCACCGTCGTTTGCAAATCAATCGAATCAATCGAAAAACGCAGACTCTCCGTTTTGACCAATAGTAATAAAAGGGCACTATATACTTTTTATACCTTTCACAAGGGGTTATATGGTTATTTAATTTAATTACATTTGAGCTGTCAGTCTTTTAAATTCAATTGGCCGGTCACTGGATTTGGGCAAATTGCAACCAAATACGTAAGTTTAGGGGGTTTTATGCCACTTTGGTAATATATATATATTTATTTATTATTATTTTTTTTAATGTTATAGTGGTTGGGTTGGGTTGGGTTGGGTACGGAACATGTAAGTCACACTTTTGGTAGGGAAGAAGAAAATTAAATAGAAAGGAGTGAGAAATGAACGAATGAACATATGAGTCACACTTTTGATAGGGAGGAAGAAAATGAAATAGAAAGGAGTGAGGAATGGATGAATAAGAAATCCATAAAGAAAAGATAGTGTCCGTTAGTGCCCTTCATTCTTTTTGTTTGGTTGGTTGTAAGAAAATGAAAGTAACACCTTACTTCATTTGTGAGATTGTTAAATTTTGATGTATCTAATAATTATGAATGGTAGTGTTGTAATTATAATTTCCATAATAATTTTACTTCACTTCCTTTTTCTCTTTTTCGTCCTATTTAGAGGAATAAAAATTTGTAGAACATAAAAATGTCCATCCTTCCTCAGAACGAGCTTCCTTGTGGAGCAGACTTGTCATTCAGCAGATGGATACCAAGGCCGCTTGAACGGACAAGTTATGGGAGAGTTGTCATCAAAAATTCCGCAGAACTCCTTAACCTATGATCTCATCTCCACAATCATCGCCGGAATGGACATCCCCTTCCCGTTAGAGAAGATCCGATGTGACCTCAAACCATCGGCGGAGCCTGTGTTGGAGAACATCCACGACCTAATCACTCATGTTTTGGATGAGTGTCGTTCCACGTTCACTAGATTTTCCGAATCTGATCGCAAGCTCTACACATTGTACGTGATCATTGAGAATAGAGTGATTTTACCCCGCCATGAAATTGACGCAATGAACCGGGAAAAGGACAAGCAAGAACGTGAGTTAAGACTTCTTCGAAAATTTTCTGATTCCATACACTCGCACCCGCCGCGTTACCCCTCCTTTAAATGGTTACACGGGGAAATAGAAGGCGTAGCGAACGTTTATGAACAAGATGATTTGGAATTGTCATTGTTGGAACTAGCAATGAAGGACTACTTCCAGGGACTAGAGACGCTGAAATTTGAAGGTGAAGGTGACGAACAATCTCTTTGTGCTATATGTAACGTTGAGATACTCATTGGGTCACGAGTCACAAGCATGCCATGCTCATGCTCATGCTCTCATATATATCATGTCAGCTGCATTGCAGAGCATCTGAAAAAGAGTCATATATGCCCCTCGTGTCGTTTCGAGTTGTCAAAGCAATTGTATGATGGAACATGTGATGATGAATAATCCCTTTACCTCTGTTAATTAATTAATTAATTATGGTACATTTAAGTATAGGGTAATGATTTTTTAATATATGAATGATCAAGTAGCAGAAGTTGTTGTGAACTAGATTTGGTCGTTAATGATGATAGCACACGAGTTTTTCTTCCCACTAGTATATGTTTTCTTCCATATCTATACAACTGTTTGCCACGTTTAGAAGTTTGTCCATTATAGTCATTGCGGTTTTGGTTAGCTCTCTAGTTGTAGCAACTTAATTATTTCAGTTTGTAATTTGAAAGAAAGATAAGCTGAAGAACATTGCTTGAAATTAGGGATTTAGGAGACTACCTCTTCATTACTAACAGCCTTGGCTATGTTTCGTCACCACCGGTGGTCGACTGGATCTCATTTTCTATCCCAACGAGTTTAGGTGAGGAAGCAAATTAAGTTGTTCTGTTGAAAATTAAAATACGCTGAGGATTAAAGCTAACAGATGAAAGGAAGTCAACCGGAAAACACTAAGAACCATTTTAGCTACAGACCAAAAGTGGAAAGGCAATGCATGTTAGCAAGAGAACTGCATATTATATGATCAATTTAGCAGCCATAAGCTGCAGCAGGACATGGATAATTGGGAGAGAGAGAGAGAGAGAGCAGAGAGATCATTATTGTGTCTTATATTCTATAACTTAAACATCAATATGCAGTACTCTGTTTACCTAATTTATTGGCATGGTTTCTATCTTAGAAGAAATGAATTATCTTATGATTGTTTAAACAAGTGGTGAATCTGGGGCACCTCACCCGTGACTCAATTCCGGTGGGATGTGAGTCCTACCATACAATTCTGATTTCCTGAAATACAGACTTGCTTTCAGTACTGTTGCTTTATCATATACTCACCGGCCTATACATTTTTTTATTTTTTATTTTTTGTTGTGGAGCCTCAATATCACATTTATTAACCAAATACTTAGATATATATAACATTATTATTAAATTTCCTACTGACTGTGAAAATGAAATAATTAGGTTAATTACCAATTATGTTACTATAATTTTATACAGATCTTGGAACCCTTGTTTCGATAAAATATTACAAATAAGTACAAACAAATGGGGAAATATACGAGTGAAACAGAAGAAGAACGTTAGATTTGTTGTATATGACATTCTTGGCCTACCATTCACTGATAGGATTAACCTCTAACCAAGGCCTACTCGAAGAAAGCCATTGCACCGGTAAGCTGGAATTTCGAGGAGAAGAAATATGGATTTAAACAATACACAATGGCATGGCCACACATGAATTGGCTCTCTACAAGTGCATGGCAGGAAAACTTCCGTGGCAATAAATTAGTAATTGAAAAACAAAACTTCGAATTGGATAAAGCAATTCAGCACGACCAGTAAATTGCTGCCTCTGCATGAGAGAAGTAAGTCTCCAGCCAAACTTCATCCAGCCTATATCTAGGTGCGCATCATCTCTGAAGTTCAGGCTCTTGTTTTTGGCAATGTATTCTTTCTTCAGGTTATTAAGGTTTGAATGGTGTTCTATCAAGTGTTTTCTTGTTTCATGAGTCTTGGATTATGTCTTGCAAGGTTTAGGATTTCTAAACCTTCCAAATGGCTTGAAATGTATTCTGTTTAAATGCTACAGTTATATGTGTGTATATATCTACTGTTCTTTCTTTAAGAGAGAGAGAGCGCACCAAAAATTGTCCTCAGGAAGATGATGAACGAATTTATAACGACCAAAAAGGAACAGGCAATTTTCAAAGTAAAAAAGAAATAAAAACATACAAACAGCGTGTGAGGAATGAAAATTTTCCTTTTAAAAGTAGAAGCATTAACCATAAAATAATCAACTGAATACAGTGAAGAGAACTGCTGAAGTGAACCTGAGACAAAAATGTCACCTGTGAATGAGCAGTCTTAGTTCTCTTTCAGAATACCATATGCATCCAAACCAACAAGTGTAGTGTGTCAAACTTCGGCCTGTGCCACATATCAAAATTATAAGTGAAGTATGTGATAACCAATAAGAATAAAATTGCAAAACAAAAATTGTGTGTGTATATGTGATGAACATCACTGACCCAACTGACAATACCTTTGGATGTCCAAATTTTCAGGATCTCATATACCGAACCCCCTTTCTAGGATTCAAGTTTAGGATACTAAAAGGAAGGAACACAAGAAGAAGATTGAGAACATACTACTAAATTTGGAAGTGAGAGCAATAGAGAGAAACAAACAGACACAACACGTGAAGAACATAAGAAGCGCAAAAGAAGAAACCTGAGAAACATTATCCGATGCCTAAGGGTAAATAATAGACATACATGCATATATATATATATGTATATGTATTATTCGTGACCATGCTGGATTTCCTATAAGAATTGCACTGTTTTTTGCCATCATTCTCTTTCAGCTACAGTGGCAGAAGCTATTATGTTAGAGAAGCTTTAAAATTGATTCTGATATGGGGATTCTCAGAGATGACTGTGGAAGGTGCTGCCAGTCTGTGATGAGGTTGGAGATTACAGAGGAAGCTCTGGTCCTAATTTTTATTTTTTGTGAAGAATTTAGATCTTTTTTCAAGCTGCTGAAGTTTCTATTTGGCACTAGGTGCCTCTCGTTCTTGCAAACAGAGCTGCTCGTGCTGTGAATAGAAGTACTCTCCTCTCAAAGATCAGTGGTTCTGCAACTGCAAGGAGTGTTCTCCTCCTATTACCTTTGATATTTTGAATTTAGATAGCGTGTTGTTTCAGTCTGTTTGGAATGTGTTATGATATTATTTTTCTGATATTGATCTTCAAATTTGGGACCATATCATGTTTGGGATGGCTGATGTTAGTTTGGAATAGTTCATAACATATCAGATTTTTTGGCCCAAACCGATATCACCAATTTGGTGATATTGTGTGTTTTGGTACTGTAGCGGAAGAACTAAAGCAAATTTACGAATTTCTTTATTCAAATTTTTGTTACCAAACATGGTTCCGATTTCTACCCAAAACACTACTACAATAAAACAGTTATTTTGGTATTGATAAAAAACATAACGCCCAAAACATATCACATGCCAAACAGGCCTTAGTGTTTTGTTTTTCTCTGTGTGTTTTTTTTTTAATTGAAATGCAACAGAATGAGTTATATATATATATAAGAAATTGATGCATGTATTTATCTTTATAGGAATTTCAACCTCACATTTCATTTTGAAAGCTAGAGGAAATATCATTAAGTTAGTGGTCAATGTAGTGAATTTAATGGAGGAAAATGGAGCCTGGTCACTAGTGCCATCAATTTAATTGAAGGTGGGTGGATTAGCATTGTAAAAGTCATTATCAAAATTGTGGTTTAGTGGTATTTTCTCTTCTTTCAAAGTAAAAGGTAGAGAGTTTGAGTCTCTCTAAGAACATTATGAGAATTTCTTTGCTATTGCCAAAGAAAAAAATAAAATAAAATAAAATAAAAAACTAACTTAAATTTTTATTTGTTTGACTTCTTACCATGTTGGCAAACTAGGGCTAAATAATGACCAATAAGTGGTTGGTAACTTTACAATTCAAAAAAACCAGAACTCTTTTTCACTACTGGCCATTGAAAACAAAGCTTGAATATCTGGCCTTCTCTTTTAAAAGTTAAGCATATTAGCATAAGGACTCAAACTGTCTAGCCATGGGCTTCTCAGATGGGTCCATCAAGTTCTCCATCATGGAGTCCAATAATCCTGGCTCATATGGTTGCTATGATAGAGAGATTTATTGTGATGTTTTCAATTTTCTCCGTTTTTCATTTTTTCAGAATTTTGTTGATGCGAGGGCATTTTTGTCTTTTCACATTGTGCGAACTGGATACTGCGAAGTGTGCCGGTTGTGTCCGAGAGTTGTTTGGAGCATTTCATTGAGTCCAGGATTCTTTGAAATGCAAGAGTGATCATTTTCGCATTTTTCCGTTTTTCGGGCCGGACAGTTTCGTGTGGGACCCGCTACTGGAATTGTTGCATATGAGGATTTTAATTGGGTCCATTTGCATCATAATCATTTTATTTAATGTGTTTTATGCTGGGAAGCACCGACACGGCATTTAGGGTCTGCGTACCGGTATCGGACATGTGTACAACACGGACATGCGTGTTTAGAGCTTGGACACGTGTTCGACACCTAAAAAACGTATCCTGTTTTTTTAATAAATAAATAAATACCGGATACGGAAAGACGCGGCAGCGATACGCCGGAGGACACGGGAAAGACATGGCAGCGATACGCCGGACGACACGGGAACTCAAACAATCCTAACCCTACTCTTCTCCTTCCCCTCCCACCTTTTCTCTATAAATCGGTTAACGCCTTCGGCTCTGTCGCTATATCCGGTGGCGCTGACGACACCATAAAGACTTAAGATTTCTCAACCTCCGGCAACCTCACACCACTCATCCGCTGTCATCACCCTTCTCCTTCTTCACCCCATCCTTCCCTCGCAACTTGTTCTCCGCCTCCAAAGACGGCGTTGTCTAGAGTGGGTAGTGATTCGTGCTTTGCATTGTTGATTTGGTTTGGTGAGAGGAAAAAGGAGGACTAGAGATAAGATGATAAGAAGGTCAGAGAGAGAGACACGTAGATGAGGAGGAGAGAGAAGCTATATCTCATCTTTTTCTTAGCACTTGTTTGGTTAGAAGGTTTAACTAGTTCTATTTGGATATAAAGTTATTATCTCTATTTGTTTGTAATTTAATAAATTTGAGACTATAAATTCTTATATTTTTTTTTAAAAAAAGAAAATAAAATTTATAGTGAGCTTAAATTATATGAATTATGAATTAAAAAATTTGGAAAAAAATTAATTTTTTATAAATAATAAAATTATATTATTATTTTATTACCGTATCCCTGCAGTGTCCGTATCTTGTTTTTTTTGAGATTTGACGTATCGCCATGTCCGTGTCGTATCATACCTGTGTCCCGTGTCGGTGTCCGTGCTTCATAGGTTTTATGTGATTGTAAAATAGATGTGTATATATATTTTTATGTGGTGTAAAATAAGAATAAAAGAATAAGGAAAAATAAAAAGAAAATGAGTGGGACCCACCAATATCAAACTTAAGGCTAAGAGACCATGTTTGGTCTCACCATTCTCTCATCTCTCCCGCTGGTCTCTTTGTTACTCTCAGCTTTCTTTTTTTTCTTTTTTCACTTCAAGGCTTCAATTCTTGATTCCTCTCTCAATTCTTAGTATTTTTAAGTGCCATTTGCGGCAAATTAAAGCTCACGGCGAGGCTTACAAGTTGATTGGACCAATTCCTAGTTTAGTGCACTTGGGAATTTCGAGATCTAGGGCATTTGATTTGGAGGTTTTTGGCTTAATTTGAGGTAGGGGTTTCTAATGCCCAATTTCTTGTTCCTTTGTGAGTTTTCTTCCAATAATTGTTATCTAGCATGTTTAATTTGAGTTATTTGCCTTTTTAATGATATATATGTTGTGTATGGGTAACATGATTATGTGTATTACTTGACTTGTATGTAGAACATGCTTAAATGTTAAATTTTCATGCTTATGATAATTATTAACTTGTTAGAAATTGTTATGAGGAAGCATTTTATTTGTGTAATATTAATTTCTCCAATCTCATAATATTGAAAGGGGATGTGATATGCATACAAAACATTGGGCATGAAAAAGGGTAAAATGATTTGAAAATAAAAAGGGGATTTTGATGGAGAAGTTTTGATCAAATGATTTTGAGAAAACCCGGTCGCCGCGGAGTCACCAAAGGGCCGGTGTGTTAATGTAACCTAGAGAGAACTAAGGAAAAATACCTTAGCGTGGTTGAGCTTGCTGGGCCCCAAATGACACCGCGGGGGTACCAAGGGTCAGGGACAGTAGCCAATCCTTCTCTCGTGTCGTTGCGGAGTCACCAAAGGACGAGTTATATTAACAGTTTGAAAAGCAATGGATTTGAATTTTTAAAATGGGGAGCGACATACATGACATTGCATATCATGGCATGACATTGTTTATTTGAAATTGGAATTTATGTTGTATTCTTTTCCGACATAACATGACCCCTATCCTCTATACCTATTCATTATTTGGATTCACGGGGCCATAAGAGGTGTGTCTTAGGCACCACCTATTGAGCTTTATGCTCACCCTATCATTTGATATTTTTTTCAGGACTCGAGAAAGAAGTTGTGGACACTGAACCATCACAAACTTAAGGAGGACTAAGAATTTATTTTTTTTGCTATCTTTTGTATATTCGCTACACTTTTGTAAAGTCTCAAAACCATAGTGACGTGTATGCATTTTGCAAGCCATGGTCATGTATTGTAAACTATAACTCTTGTTGGTATTTTGAAGGGAAGCGAGACTATGTAAATATTTTGTGTTGAATGGGATGATGATGATGAGTCATGTTGTGGAGGTTGTTGATATAATTGTTTTGGGAATGTATTATTATTATTATTATTATTATTTTTGTATTGTGTGTTGGGACAGCTTAGATAAGTCTTGAAGGGCCAGGAAGGGACATTGCATTTTTTTCATTTGAGCAGGTTGTAGGCCCCTTTTTAGCAGAGGTCATGCCAATTTTTTTTTTTTTATAATTAGTTTTCAGTTTAGGGTCGTTACATTTATTGAATCCCATTCAAGTTCAGGCCTAAACCCCCCAGTTGAAAAATAATTTTTTCCTAATGTTTTTCAAGATTTTGCAGTGAAACACATTACCTCAATTTCAATTCTTGCAGATAGTTTATGCTTGGATTTGGTTTAGTTTCACAGCTCACAATTCTTATTATACTACCAAGCTTAACCTTAGTACAATTTATTGGAGGTAAATATTGCTCACTTCTTACCGGAACAACAGCAGAAGATACTATCAGGTCATCCCCAATGAGAAACCAAAGCAACCAATGCCATTTAACCCCATCTATTAAGGTACATCAGAGATCTGAAATATGGAGCTGACACATCAACTGCGCAAAAAATGGCAGCCCTGTAATGGAAGATAAAGAATATCATAGAAAGATTAAATTTGTTATGCCTCCGACTAGGCATCCATAAACATATTTCTTCAATGAACTAATCTTTATCCAGAGTTTCAACTCTCTTTGTTATATGCAGATTGAATATAAGGCAAAACAGTAATTCTCAACGGATACGGAGTTCAGGATTTTATGGATATACAAAGGCCAACATAAATAGTAAGAAACTCCAAGTTCTGCTACAGTTGAAGAATTATTGAGAGATCATAGAGCTCTATCAAGATGTCAGCGGCCAAAATGAAAGAACTGACTGCCTAAACATATAAGAAGATAGAATACACCCATCATGAAACAGTAGATGCAGGTTGTGACGATAATCAGATCAGATTAGAGGTAAATATCAGGTTCGGAAATACCAATTACATGTGAATACCATAAACATGCCAAGGAATGAGCTGCCACATATAACTCATCAATGAAATCAGTTGGTGTATCTGGAATCTCTACAGGACTCCCCGTGATTAAGTTAGGGTTTCAGAACTATGTGATTGGTTAAATTCACTAATGGGTTTCTCATTATTTGGGACAAGATTTAAATGGTTCATGTGTAACCAATTAATGGTTTGCTCTAACACAACAGTCTCAACATAGAACACTAATTAATCAAAAAGAGAACCACCACGCAAGCCATTTAAGCAAAATAAAAAGAAATAGGGAAAGGAACAAGAATTTGTTTCTGTAGATAAAATTAATATCAAGTCAGAAATAAAAGAAAATATGTATCAATTTTATTTCAGCAATAAATATATAAAATGCAAGGTGTCAGGAGATAAATAGGCATAACAAGTTTCTTTTGCTTCACAAACCACTCATCGGATAACCAAGTAAATGGAGCTCAACTACAATAACAAAGTAAATACAGTGGCATTCCCTTGCAAATAACCCACAACTGATTACTAGTGAGAAATGTTAAGACCGAAGAGAAAAAGTTAAATATTATACTAATGTCTCCTAATGGTTAACAAAAATACATGAACCATTCTTGTCATGTATTTTCGTAAGATGGTGTCTAAGAGAAAAATATCTAAAATTATATATTAATCTTCATCTGTGAGTTTTAGAAGTATTGAGGAGGGACTATATCTTCTTTAAAATAATAATAATTTATCTTTTTAAAAGTGGAATCAAAGTACTCTTCTTCTTTTTTTCGAAAATTGAATTTTTGAAAATTTGAAACTATTGTAAAGAAATTGATTCGCTGATAATGCCCTTTCTTTTTTACCTGTTTCCTCTTCTCTATCTTTTCTTTCTCAATCAGTTTTCCATCATTTTGGATTGTACAATATATATAATATATACATACACATTTTGGATTAAGTAAGTACTCACACATACATTTCACAAATTACCCACTATGGACTCAAATCCCTCACCTCCCCTTTGAGGATGAAGATTTTATACCATTGGACTAATGGTCGATTGGTAGTATCCTTGATCCTTCAGTTTGTGAAAATCATTAAAAAGCTGATTACTGCACGTGTTCCATTTAAGCCATTAGGAATGGATTTTCCTTTTTCCTTTTTATTTAAATCTTGAAGGATATCTTGCATTGATTGAAATGAGTTCAATTTCAGCTTATTATTGACATTGCTATTTTTTATTCTGTGTCATAAACTCAAGTCTTCTAGGCTTTACATCTTTTGCTCTCTTGTTTACTCCAAGGGGGTTGAGGAAGTGCCTCTTTTGGTGTCTACATGTTCAGACTAGATTTAATACTGGCACAAGAAGTGCAACAGTAATATTGCGGGATGTAAATTGGATGGAAAGCTCATTAATCAGAAACTGATTGCTCATTTTCATAAGAAAAATGATTTTGGGGTCGAGGGATTAGTCGAAGAGGCTAGCTGAGCACTTCTGACCCTTTTATGGCCTCTTCGACCCAAAGCATCACTCTTTTCGCAATTATCATTGAGTAATCTCAAAGGATCATCACTCTTTTCATAATTATTATGGTGGACATATATATATATATATATATATATATTTTTTATAAGTTATTATGGTGGACATATTAAGCCATCTATTTGTTAAGAAAGAAAGGCCTACAGAACTACAGAACTATGCAGCATGCTGATGTTCTGGACCTCTAAATTCATTCTTCCTATATGCACTTTCAAAGAACTCAACTGCATTCTTAGGAAGTTTCTGTAAAGAGATCAGAAACTCAAGAAAGGTGGTGCAAAGGTAGCTTGGACTACCGTATGCTCACCAAAATCAGCCGGTGGCCTTGGTTTTCCTCGTATTCAAACTTTGAACAAAATTACTATTATGAAACAACTATGGCAAGTTCTATCAACAGAAACTCATCATTATGGGCACAATGGGTCAGAATTACCTGTTAAGAGGTAGATGCATACGGCTTCTGAAGATTCCACAACAGTGCTCTTGGAATTGGTAAAAGCTTCTCCAACTCAGGCCGACCATCAAAACCCTTGTCAAAATAGAAAATGGTAAAGGTATGAACTCCAATTTCTGGTTTGACAACTGGTGCTCCATAGGCCCTTTGCACACCTTATTTACAACAGAGAAAATTCAGAACTCTCCCTTTGAGCTCAATACAAAGGTTAGTGCTTTCATTAATGGCTCCTCATGGAAACTGCCTCCTTCTCTCTTAACCATGATCCCACAGCTTTAACAGCCCAAATGCTCTGCCAATGTTGGCTCTTGATAGGCATTATAAGGTCAAAAGGCTTCTTCCCTAACCCACAGGCAATTTCTCCCTCTCTCACACTGCCAAATTCCTCTTCCCCTTCCATGGACTCACTTCACTTGGTTCTCCCCTTGTATTACTATTACCCAAGCATAACTTCATTCTTTGGCTTGCAATCCACCACAAGCTCCCAACCACGTTCCCAATTTGTGTTCTACCTATCCTGAATCTCACAACCACTTTTTCATTCAATGCCCATTTATATCTCCCATTTGGAAATTTTTACAAGCACGTTGCGTGCATTCCACACACGTCCATCCTCTACGGATGAATTGACTTGTCAACTATGGAAGGAGAAAGCTAACCCTAGAACCTCTAGTTAACATTATGCCTTTGCCGCACTGGTATACAGTATTTGGATGGATTGCAACAGAAGATACTTCAAAGGTCACTCACTTTGTGCTCAGTCGAACAATTGCTTCTTAGCTTGGCCTTATACAGTATTTGACCTTAGCTGCATCTTTCCATTCCCAAAAAGAGAGAGCAGGAGAAAAAAAAAACGTTCCAATAAGAGAAGAGTATTTCATATTCATAAATACTATTGCCTATGGTTATAATCCAATCTAATTAATCAATTTTTTTTTTTTCTTTCTATTATACTATTTCTAGTATAAAGTGCAATACTTAAGTATATAGAGTTGCACTTACAAATTGCATATATATATATATACACTTTGACGCTGTAAGTATATTAATTATGAATATTATTACTTATCTTCTTAATCATAAATACTAATAAATATAAAGTTCAAAATGGCAGAATGAAAGCAATTACAATAGTATTTCAGAGGGGTGCACCAAAAATCGGTTGAACCGATAAACCAATCTGGATTGATATGTTTGGTTTAGGTTTTTTACGATTTTATTTGGTTACAGTTTTAACAATATGGAACCGTTTATAAACGGTTCAAATCAGATTTGAGATATTACAAGACCAAATCGAACCGAACCGTTTTATAAATTGTATATATATTTAAATATTTTATTATATAAATATTATAATAATAAGATTAGCCTCTTAACCATTCAATTATATATCATAATATATAATAAAAAAATTATATTATAATAGAAAATAATATTATATATAATATATTTTTAATTTTACATGTATATTAGATTGAATTATAAAAATGATTAAAACCATAGAACTGAACTGAATCGAACCTTTTTCTCATGGTATATTCTAGTCCGATTCTATTAATTTTACGATTCGGTTCACCGATAGAAACGATCTAGTTACAAGTGATGGGAGAGAAAAAAAAGTGTTAAAAATGTATTTTGTCTTATAAATTTATATTTTTAACAATGGAGGACCAGTGCAAGGACATGCACGCCATTAAAAATTCTCTTATTTGACAGTCACTTGCACGCCATTAAAACTCTTCTTATTTGATTACTACATAATTTTTTATTATCTTTTAGAGTGTTAGTACAAAACTATTTTTATGACAAAATCTAGAGAATTAATGCAAGTTGAATTGGGTGTTGTAATAATATGGATGTTCAGGATCTATGAAATCGAAATGAGTTTGAAAATAATAGCTAAGACTAAGAAAATAGAAGTTGAAATAAGTTGATGATAAATAATAGAGATAGGTTAGATGTGATGAATAATGGTAAGAGTCGGGGTATTTATACGAGAAAAATGATTTTTAAATTTTTAATTAAATTTTTTTAAAAACAAAGTTAAATAAAATAATTTTTGTAACCTTTTTTTAAAAAAATTATAGTACTATTTGTGTCATCCAAACAGTGCCTTAGCGGATAAATGCACTGTTAATGGCAAAAATTTAAAATTTAAAGCAAAATAAGTTTTTAAAAATAAATTTTTAATGGAAAAGAACAAACAAAAAAAAGATTTTTTAATTTATTTTTGGCCCAAATCAAAAAAAAAAAAATTTGGACAAATAGTTTCTAAACAATATATTTTTTATTTTTTAAAAAAAGAGCTCAAAATAACCTATTTTTTGGTTTTTTTTTTTTTTCCAAAAAAATCATGGCTGCGAAACAGTTCCATAAGGCACCTTTGCAGCCAGGACTTAAAAAAATAATATAAAATAAAATAAAAAAACCCGCCACGGGCTCTCACTTTTCTGCGAGCCAACACACTAGCCGTTGTGGGTTTACTTCATTTTCGCTATCCAACCGGCTAGCCATTGCGGATGCTCTAAGGTTTGCCCACTAAAAGCCTTTTTTTGAAAAAAGAAATTAGTCAGTCAAGAAAATGAACCAAGAACCCAAAGGAGGCTATGATACCATGAGAAAAGTTTTTGAATAGGGAATTCTATTAATTTCCTTCATCCTGTACAAATTGTATACATTTACTGGAATCAGAGAGTAAAATGGGAAGGAATCATTCCAATTTGTTCAAGAAATAATTTTGAAAAAATTAGATCAATCTTGGGGTCAACCACGCCTAAAATCCTAGAATTTTTTTTGTGTGATCTGTTTTTCCACAAAAACAAATGTGTCTTCTAGACAAGCACTAACTCATGGCTAGACTTCCCTAGTTTAGGCTTCAAATTGGAAACATAAATTAAGTACAACAGAGTTCTGATATGGAAGCTTACTTTGGCGAGCTATGTTTATCATGTGCGAATGTCTAGAAACAATAGAATTTTTCGAAATAAATCACTTCCTCCAATCGCAGACGCCTGAAGAATGTGTGATTAATGCTGTTCGGTTGAGACTTTTCTCGACAGAAAAATGAAAATGTCTGTATGCAGAAACCATTGCCAATGAATGAAACCTTCCATCCTCCTTTTTTCAAGTGTTGACCTTAAACCCCTTCTTCTTCACCTTAAACCAAATCACCAATTTCATGCTTTAGAACTGGTTGATGCTTCCACCCAAATCTATGTTTAGCGTTAGTTATTTGATGCTGGACTGACTTTACTGTGGTGTCGGCTTTGCTAATTTTTGTTGTGTTTTGTTTGGGTTGGGCCCAGATTTGGTCAACTCTGGGTCTCATTTTGTGGGTCTTTTTGGGTAAAATTTTAATTTAATTCAATTTGTTTGTTTTCCTTTGTTGCCCATTTTGCTTGCACTATTGTTTTGGGCTTGGGGCCACAATAAGCACGATCAATTTTTTAAAACAAAAAATGAAGCAAAACAACAAGTCAAAAAATAAAATTGCATTTCTTAATTTCATTTTATTCTTGCACTCATGTATGATGCATGTACAATTTCATCCCAAGTTTTACCCCAAGTATTTATGTACAGTTCTTTATTTTTGTCTATAACATCCTTACTTGTGCGGAAATATATATATTGAGTGTATCAAGCATGTTGATGTATGGCTAGAGAAGTCCCGTCTTTAGTTCTAGATTTGTGTAAAATATATTTGATTAGTATAGAATTTTTTATTATCTTTCAGAATGTTAGTATAGAACTATTTTTATGACAAAATGTAGAGAATTAATATGAGCTATTCATGTGTAACAATGTTCATCGTCCATTAAGGGGAGGTAAGAGGTTATAAATAAGACTCAGAAATAGTGATTTAATCAAGGTGGGAAAGTAAAATAGAGAATATTCATGGGTTTTTTATTTTTTATTTTTCTTATCAAAGTGTTTTGTTATAGGAAGGTTACTTCGAGTGTTGGAGGAAAATATACCTTTTAATCCTTCCTTTGTTGATTTTACCGATATGGTTGAATAGAGAGACAAAACAAAAAATAAAATATTTTAATTATGAATGAACTGAATTATTTATTAATATTTTTGTATAATGATGTCATAATTTAAAAGAAATTGAAATGGAACTAAAAAATTATTATTATTCTCGCTAGGTTAATATTCTTATGGTTAATGGTGTGAAATTTATTAAAGGGATATAGAGCCTTGTTGATCCAAATCTAGGTAAAATGGAGCCTCGTTGATCCAAATCTATGGGAAATGGCTTGTGAGTTGTGACCAAATAATTTTGTACGCTAATGAGTGTTAGAGTTGTACTACACAATCAACTGGATTTGATACCAGTTGTTGTGACAGAAACACAAAATAAACAATACTGTCCAAGGAATAAACAAGTAATCACGGAGAATAAAAAAAAATCACACACAAGAACACAATATATATATGGTTCATCCAAATCTTAGGGCTACGTCCATGGAGCACACCGAACAAATTTATTATAAAAAAGATAAAGAATTACAAGGAGAATTCTCTTTCAATCTCTCTCAATTGCTCTCTCTTGTATTGGCACAAATTTTTCTCTAACTTTCTCACCCTATTTATAGAGTCCCCAACTTGTCATACAAGAATTTGCCTTTTGTAGAATCCAAAACCAATAAGGAAGTTAAATCAGATTGGGAAACTGAATTTTCCTTAAACCAATAAGGAAGTCAAATCAGATTAGGAAACTGAATTTTCCCTAATAGATTAGGAGACTGAATTTTCTCTAAAATTCAATACTCTTGAAGTTTCCGTATAATTAAATTTTTTATAAAATCTTCTACCTAATCAGACTCCACAAAACCACAACAATCTCCTACTTGGAGTCTGGAGCACTTGTAAACCCATTCCATCTTCTTCTCATGCATGTCCTATGCATGTCGGTGCGCTTCTATCTATCTTCAAGCTAGAAGACCGACTAAAGTTGCGCACAACTTCAGTTTCTCCATGGTCACTGTCTGGGTCAACATGTCAACCGGATTCTTGGTGCCAAGTATTTTCTCAAGTGTCAACACCCCATCTTCTAACAAAGATCTGATAAAGTGATACCAAAGTCCTATATGCTTAGTCCTTGAATGAAATGCTGAATTATTTGCCAGATGTATCGCACTCTGACTATCACTGTGCAAAACATTCTTCTCATGTTTGAATCCCAACTCTATCAACAAACCTTATAACCAAATCATCTCTTTTCTAGCCTTTGTCATCGCCAAATACTCTGCCTCTGTAGTAAATAATGCTACAATCCTCTGTTTTTGCGAAACCTAATTAACTGCAGTTGTACCCACCATGAACACATACCCGGTAATACTTCTTATGTGGTCCACCTGACCAGCAAAGTCTGAATCTACATAACCATGTAGCTTCACTTCACCCCTTCTGAAGCATAAACATCTATCTGTGGTACCCCGTAGATATCTCAATATCCATTTTACTGCTTCCCAGTGTAGCTTGCCCGGATCCTTCATGAACCTGCTTACTACTCCCACTGCATATGCAATGTTTGGTCTTGTGCACACCATGGCATACATTAGACTTCCAATGGCTGAGGCATATGGAATTTTAGCCATGAAGTTTTTCTCATCTTCTGTCTTGGGACACTGATCTTGAGATAAGCGGAAGTGATTAGCTAAGGGAGTACTCACCGCCTTAGCATTATTCATGTTGAACCTCTTCAGAACCCCTTCAACGTACTCAGCCTGAGATAACTGCAAAGTACCTTTTTGTTTGTCTCTGTTAATCCTTATCCCAAGAATCTGCTTCGCTGCACCAAGATCCTTCATCTCGAATTCACTAGACAACTACTTCTTCAATTTGCTGATTTCTTTAAAATCAGAATCTGCCACTAACATGTCATCAACATAAAGTAGAAGGATAATGAAACTTGACTTAAACCTCTTGAAGTAGTAGCAATGGTC